GCAATTGGGCCGGATCATCAGGCTCGCAGAGGAGAGTTGTGGGTTCGCATCTGCCAATGTCACGCCGCCAGGTGAATTGGGGATCGATTCTTTGACCGGCGATGACGGAAGCTTCGACCGAAGGACCGGAGGAATGGATTCGATAATAGATACGGCTTCCTCAATAGATTCACCTGGGAGCTTCAAAGCTTCAGAATCAGAGGTGGATTTTTGAGAGGGTAAATTCTGCAACCCCATGGTGGTGTCTTTAATGGCGGACGAGGGTGTGAAGCTCAACACCTGGGGCGGTTTGCGACCGGAATCGCCGTCTTCATCGCCCAAGTCCGAAATCTGAGCTGGTTTATCACCTTCTTCTAGATTGTTCAAAAGGTCTAAAAGAGTCGTGCGAATTTCTGGCTGTGCGAGTACTGCGACCAAATCCGTCAGGGGGGTAGCCGGAGAAGGGTTAGGAGACATGGTATCTGACGGAAAAAAAGTCAGTCATTTCTGGCTGTGCTAGGTTAATTATCTTTTGTTGCTAGGTTAGTTATATCTAGTTGTAAAGTCAGTTTAATTCACACATTACATTACATATAAATCAGAGTCAAGTCAAGGGAAATGATTGTGTACCTGTTAGTGTTGTAGGTTGCATTAAATAAAACAACATCTCCAAACATGAGGTAATTTCTTTTTGAAATTTGGTCTGCCCAAAAGATTCGGCTTAATTTATTCTCTTCATCGACCGCATATTCAAATGTAATGTCCGGGTAAACTTCCTGCTTTGCTGAGAAATTTTTGTACGATGAATTGTGCATCTGCCCCTGACATGTAAGCCATAAGATCTCTTTTGAAGTTTTTGAAATCCGTTGCCAGAGAACCAACATTTTCGTATCCTCCAACCATTTCTTTGAACAACCTGTGTGTTTTAGCGGTTCCAATGTTGGCTTTTACACAATTTAGGACAAACTTCTGGTGGCCATAATTCAGCTGTCTGTTTGCATTCAAATAATGTGCTTCCAAAGTCAGACTGTGGCAGTGTTTTTCTTCAAACCATGTAATTTTGTATCCTTTTCCATCATCATATTCAAACACTACCCGAGCCATGCAACCAACTCTTTTTGAAACACGTTCTCGTTGAACTCCTCCTACTGAATTATTTGTCCTTGACTGTGGTTTAAATCCTTTTCTGCTGCAAACTATAAGTTGTTTTCTGACCATCCCACTTCTGAAACGTTTGTTCGAGCTAATACGAACATCAAATCCACCATTTGCTCCATAGTGTCTGTAATATTGCAATCCAGTTTCAAGGGTTTCAAAGATCATGCCAACTTTAGGCTTTATATCTTCTTTGACAATAGGTATCCAATACTTTGTTGAATTTGGTGATATCACCAATTGGAATTGGCATTCTTCATGTGTAATACATGCTGCAAAATATAATAAGAATCATAAGCCACTTAATAATTGCAATCATTGCAATGTAAGTTATGTCTAGTTGCTA